TTATTATTATTATTATTATTATTATTATTATTATTATTATTATTATTGAGACAATTAAATACTTTAGGATTTTCATTCAGGAGGAAGTACCAGACTGCAAATGTACTCACACTTATTCATTTAAAGCGCAAGTGCGTAGTTGAAACATGCTATAGTGTTTAGACGAAAACTGTTTGCTCGTCATCTTCTGCCTGTCTAGCTGCCTGACACTTTGCCTGAAGGAATTGCACATTGTCGCTGACTTCTCTTTAACTGCGCGCAAACTATTACTTATTTTACCACTGAAAAGTCTTTGTTAAACAGCGAATAATTGTTCAGCTTATTGAGTATTTTTTTTTCTTCATTCAAAACACGAATAACGCTCTTCCCGTGTTTCTTTACGACTCCGGTTAACTGGCTAGCTGTGAGCATAGCTGCCCAAAATACCTCCTTAAGGCCCCCTTGCTTTGTATGGAAGCGCTCAGCATCACCAACGGGGTGAGAGCTAAATTATTGGTAACACAATTAACACCAGCTGCGTATAATGTACACGCTTATAATATATGTAGTTAGCCGTGTTTTTAGTCTATGTAGGTTAAATAACAAAACTGTTTGCTGTAATTCACGACAACAGTGCTTATTTTTAGTCTGGAGCTAAGTTAACTTCAGGTTCTCACTTCGCAACCGTTATTTTATTAGACCTCTTTTAAGCCACGTGAAACAAGCTGTTGTCGTGTTGTCAACAAATGTCACTATAAGTGTTTTTAGACGCCCGTGTTTGCAAGCATGCTTTTAAAAGTAATAAACTGTTAACTACGTGGCACTTCTTAAAGTCAGGAGCTGAGCTGACGACGTTCATGTGTGAAAATGAAGAAGGTCTTGCTGCTGGCACTGCTGCTGCTGAACATACATCCAGGTGCATCAACACCCAAAGGTGTCACTGCCAGCCTTAAAGCCAAATGGAGCATGACACCTTTCCTTCTGGAGACAAGGTAGGTGCAGTGTCCTGACATTGATGCAATTATCCAACAACAAAAAAAAAAAAAATCAAACTACAAACAGCTACATTTATCTTTATTAATTCAGAAGAGCTTTTTTTGCACGAGTTATTGCTCCACCAGTCACCCAAAACGATGGAGAAAATATAATCACAACTTATAATAATCACATCAGTAGCCAAGTTTTCAATACTTTAGTTCAAGATGTAATGGTAAATGGACTGTACTTAACTTTTCTATCTAATCAAGATACTCAAAGCGCTTTACAACACAATCTGTGTCCTCGTTTACCCAGCCATACAGCACTCTAAAGCTAATCTGACTCTGTACTGACTAATCAGTGCTTTAGATCACATTTATACACCGATGGGACACACATCGGAGGCAATGAGGGGTTCAGTGTTTTGCCCAGGAGCACATCAGCATGCGACTGCTGGTGGATTCAACCCCCCATCTCACCCATTGGAGGACGACTGCTCTAACCACTCAGCCACAGCTGCCCCCAATGTTAGAAGTACATACATTTTTCTATATTTACTCAGACATTGGCAATGAATACTAGGCTGATTAAATGGTTCTATTTTGTATGGGCTTTGCCCTTTAAGAGCTGCCACTGATGGATCTCACGCTTCTACCCCCACTATACTGTATGTTCTCTATATGTGCAGAAAAAAAGAAGAAACACTTCACAAACTTTACAAGTTTTTGAATTGTAAGTTTATTTATATGGGTGCCAGAAAGTACTGGTATATATGTAATTTTTAAATTTGTTTAAACAGCAATGTATTTAATAAATTACATATATTTCTAAATTTGACTGAATCAGCAATAGTAACTTGTCAATGTACACAAAATTAGCAAAACTACTACATGCAAAAGTATTTATTATTTAGCAAAAATTGTTGTTGTGTACAAGATAAATTATTCTTAAAAAAAATGCTACATTTAAGCTATTGTTCAACGCAAACCCAAAGGTGGTAGTTGCTCTCTTTTAATCAGTTTAGATAACTGTTGTTTTATTTTCTGTATAAATGTTCTTTCAAAGTTTGTTTAATTTAAAATACAAATACACTCTCCAAACGATTCACACCCAGTTTCCAACATACAAACGCAGAACATAACTCAAGCCTCCTCGGCTGAGAGAAGTCTAAAAAGTAACTTGCTCATTTTCAGCACAGAAACTTTTATTGGCATTTTTATTGTTTTTGTTGTTACAAATAATTATATATATGTCATATAAAAACAAAATGGGTGGGTAGTAATTGCTCTCACATTCATAAATGACGACAAAATGTTTTAATACACTCGTCCAAAGTTATATGGTATAGTCTCCGTCTGTCAGTAAACTTTCTCTTGTCCCATATAGCTACTGATCCTCTCAAAATAATTTAACGAAACGTCATACACATATGCATCATCACTAGATGGAGCGCTATGTACACATTTCATCACCCTAGCTTCAAGGTCAAAGTCACAAATCAAGGCCAAAGGTTCAACAAGGTATTAACTTGTTTGGGGCCATAACTTCTGATTCTCTCAAGATAATTTAACAAAACTTGAGACACATTTGTTCCACCACTGCATGCCACGTTGTCTTTTCATCAGTCTGGCTTTAAAGTCAAGGTCAGAAATCAAGATCAAATGTTAGATAAGGTCTTTGCTTGTCCGAGCCATTTCTATATGTCCCTGTATAATGGTTTGTTGATGAGCGTATAATGTGCCATGTGCGGTACTCTTCTTATCAATTTATCAACTCTAAAATTGTTACCACCGTCCCACATCCAAAGTGATTTGTTTACAGACAAAACAGTTTATATTAAAGTCACAAACATGCATGTTTGTATAAATGTTGGGACAGTTATTTCCAGAAAGTGTTGAATTATCACTGGGACTGAACTGTATTAGATGAAACACTGTAAACTGCAGTGGACTTGTCTACTTCTCTGCTGTTGCTCCCTGAGATGATTTTGTTGTGAACTGCAACTAAATTGACCTGAATTACATTTTACTTTGCTTTCCTTCTTTGCAGTGAGTTTGTTGGAGAAGATGGGAATGATAAATTCTGGCAGTTTGTTGAAACGGTGAAAGAACTCACCGTTTACAAGCAGGGAGGTTCGTTCATTGACACTCATTTTGCAAGATAAACACTTTATTTATATGCAGCAGGTTCTAAATGGTAATTTTGGTCTAAGTAATTCATCTCGACTTTAAAAAACCCTCATTTCTATTAATGCTGATCTTACAGAATCTGTCCGCTCGTATTACAACTTGATCATCAAGAAGGCGGGCCAGTTCCTCACAGATCTTCAAGTGCATCTCCTGAGATTTGCTCTGTCCATGAGGTCCTACTCACCAGCTGTTCACGCAGCCCAGCAGGTAGGTTTTATTATCCCTTCATGTCTGTACGTTTGTTTGTCTTCTAGAAAAATATCTCATGAACCACTAAACAGTTTTCAATGGCACTCTCAAAAAAAGTAATTAGATGTAGCTCTAAGACCTAATAACTTTGGGAGTCATCCTGAATTAAGGTGGCTGCCACAGCCAATCAACCTCAGCAAACACAAACAATTCAGTCAATTCAGTTTTACAGATATTGATTCAAAATTGAAGTAGTAGCTGAGAGTCATTACAAAAAACACAGTCTGAGCACGAACAGGTCATGCAAGATCTTTGTTTTAAATCTTTTTATGGAAGGCAGCAGTCAATGTGTATGATGTCACTTGGGAATTTTAGTTTTATTGTATTTGTTATTTACTAGCTTGCTACTTTTCAAACAATAATTTTAGCTCTTACTAAAGGGTTTCTTGCTAATTTTATGTTACAGAGCAAAAATAAGTTCAGCATTTGATTTTCAAAAGGGTTCTTTTTTTAAATTTTATCCCTCATTGTTCCAAATATGCAAATATTTCAGACATTAATCTGAAGTAAATGTTAAGGCATGCATTTTCGTTGTGCTTGGTGTATACATCAGGCTGGTTTGAAGCTCATAAATATGTAACAACCAAACCACAACACCTTGCTTTGGTCACATGAAAATCATTCTTATTTGAAAGGAAAGCATCAAGAGAGAAAACATGAAAAGCACGTAAATGTACTTGTTCTAAATTACACTGATTTTGTGTATCAAGGTGTTTTTCTTTGATTGCACAAAGATTTATAAGATAATGGACAAAAACACTTCAGATTTTGGCCATTTAAGACATGCACAATTATGAAGAATGAACACTCCATTCTGCCTTGAACAGATAGCCAGTGATGAGCCTCCGCCTGTTGCGTGTCCTGCCTTCGTCTCTGTCCATGGTGAACACAGCTGCAGCACCAAGGACATCAAGAAGCTTCTTAAAGCTGCTGCAGGCAGGTAACGTAGAACTGAACTCTTCTCTCGATAAACTGAATCCTTCACAGAATAAAACAATATGTCTTGCTTTGAATCTGTTCAACAACTTCCCTGATTTTTTTGCAGGCCTAAACCGTACTTGTACAAGAATGATCACACGTATCCAGGAGTGAATCAAACGGACGTACCAGTTGTGATCCTGTATGCTGAAATTGGAACCAAGAAATTCAGCTCTTTTCATAAGGTGCTGTCAGAGAAGGCAGAGGAGGGTGTTCTTATTTATGTCCTGCGGCACTTTGTAGCGGTGAGTTTTTTTTTTTTTCCACTGGTTTTACTCAAAGTTAGGGTTTACCAGGACTTTAGGTTAATAAGTTATTGCTTTATTAAACACATGTTTGTGTTCTTGATTTTGACAGCAACATTTTGTGATGTGTTTTAAAGGTTACATTTATCTATCTTGTTTGTTACGGATATAAAACTCTCTTTAAATAGATAGTTTGGACTCCATGAAGTGGTGATTTTTGCAGAAGTTGTGAAGAATCAGAGTTTAGGTCTGACTGCACCGATGAGCTAACAGCTAGTCTGAATGTAAAGATGGAAGCGGATTGCTGCTTTCCTAAATCGTTTCAAATCTTTAGGTTTTATAGCGATTCATTTGAACACTTATTTTGTAGACCTTTATCAATTTCTTAATGCAAAATGATCTTCTAGGGATTCTGTGCATATTTGACAATGCAAATAGCAGCAGTAGCACTTCTAGTGCATCCTGGGGGTGACTTCTGTCGGGAATTTTCTCTTTCTGCTGAAATAACTTTGTAAATAGTTATAGCTTTCACTTATTGGAAGATTGCAGTTGTTTTGAGAACATCTGTAATTTATTTTGGAAGTAGATAAGTTGTTCACACTAATCCTTCACACTTTTATGGTTCCTTTTTAACCTTTTCAGGTTCAGCAAAGTGCTTTACATTGTAAGAAGCATATAAGGGACAGTGGGGTGGGGGGATATTAGGTTAATTGTCTTGCCCAAGAAATGTTCTTTGGATAAAATAACAGTGATTTAAACTAACATAGACATACAGACATTAAAACCTTGCTTTGCTTGTATTTGCTGCAGGATCCAAAGCCTCAGAAGGTGCTTTTGTCTGGGTATGGTGTAGAGTTGGCTATCAAAAGCACAGAATACAAAGCTGTGGATGACACCAAAGTAAAAGGTTGGCTGGTACTTTATCAAGCAGTGTCTGCTGGTTCCTACTGGGCCAGAGCCCATTAAACACAAGTCTTGTTTTGTAGATTCAAAAACTGTACTCACTGCTGAGGATGATGATGATGAAGTGCAAGGATTCGTTTTTGCAAAACTAAAGTAAGTTGCACAACAGGGCTATATTAACTACACAAATGGTGTTCTAGCTTAATGTACTTTTTTGATAATTTGTTTTGAGGAAGCCCAGTTTAGAGATAAAATACTAACCTTGTTTTATATTTCTCTACGTCTCTTAAGAAAATCCCATCCTGAGCTTCAGGAGGAACTTGGTGAGCTCCGAAAACATCTCCTGGAGAGCACCAGTGACATGGCCCCTCTTAAAGTGTGGGAAATGCAAGGTATTACTGATTTTACTGCTTTAGTTTGAGCTAAAGCTACACCAAATATGGAAACCTAAAAACCAGTAAAACATGATTATTCATGCATGTAGTAATTATTTTGAATAAATGTAATTATTTGTTCACATGCCCATATTATTATAAATGATGAACAAACTAGTAGTGATGCAGCTTGTTCAAAAATGTTTTAATATGAATGGAAAAATAGTTTTTATTTGATAACAACCTACGCAGAGCCAAGCAAAGTCCATGTGATACAAACATAACCCCCTTTTTAATTTGTTTAGTCTATTACTGAACAGCTCTCACGTGACTTTTTCTTCAATTTTACAACCTGTGCCCAAATTTCCAGAGTCCATTCAAACAGCTTTATGATCCTTGCTTCTCAGTTTTCCGCTTTAATTGTCCACATCAACAGCTGCTAAGACTAAATGGTGCATTTGGACACACACCTCATTTTTCAGAAATATATTTTTAAATAGCTTATGTAGATGAACAGATGCTGATATATTCATCAATTAAAACGGGTTCACTCATCTTTCTGGACTGGATAAAACGTGCATTGAATTCAATGAAATGTAACGTGAGACGTCATTTTTCTTTGACCCATCAAAATGAATGCGGTCATTTATTTTACAGAATCAAAGTTTAACATCAAACATTTACATTAATTTGGCAGAATATGAAAACAACAACATAATTAATCAGCTTTTACAACCAGGAAACCATACGGCCATGGTTTTCCGTTGCTTCACCACAGACATTAATGAAAACATCTGGATTAATTTTCTAGCAGAAAGGAGAGTTTAAAGATGGAAAGATGAAGTTTATCTGAGAGAGATGTGTGAGGGAATTTGTCTGTTTTAACCAGAACAGCACGCTCCATTGAAATCAGCTTGGGCCAACGGTACGCTTGGTCGAAATAGAACTTTTACCTTGCAGACGATAGCTTCAGCGTCGGTGTAGAGCTCTTCTTTTGACTCTTTTCAGCGTCTCCGTGAGAACAGCTAAAAACCTTAGGAGTCGTGTGAGGTTATCCAAACAGAAGTTATAATTCCCAAAATCGTCTCTGGTTCAGCTTGTTTGGTTTAGCAGCATCCATGAATGCCTGCGGTTGCATTCACGGACTCCCAAACTCCCTGCACTCTGGATTCCACAACTCTTGAACTCTTCTGGAACTCTTCTGTTGAACTCTACTGGAACTCTGGGAAGTTGCCACATTTAAACGGGCTATACTTCCGGTTCATTTGAGAGCTTTTTGATTGGTGGATGGACCAGAACAGAGGTGTGGTTTGTGATGTAAGGTGTTATGGAAAGTCAAGGATTGTTTAAGAACAGACAGAAAGATATCATGGAAAAACCAGACTTCGTGGTGCCACCTCTCCTGTATCTTGCTGTAAAAGTTAAACATGACATTGCTTTTCAGTAAACTTTCTAGTTGACCGAAGCTTGAACTTTAACACCCTTACAACTTTGCTCATTGAAGACAGAAAAATCAAGAAATTGAATCATTACTCTCTAACGTTCTCTAACTTGATTTCACTTTGAATTGAGGACTAAAAATCATTACTACTGTTTAAGTAAATAAAAATGAGTAGTTCACTTCAACACGTAAACATTGTTTGAACTAACACAATTTGATTATCAAACATTTGTAAAATAGTAATGATCATAGAGAATTGTCTTTTCCACTTGATTAATTCAAGACAGAAAGTCTCAGGATGGGTCAAACTGTATTTCTGGATTCAAATCAATGAAATGACAGTTTCTGTCCATCTGGTCAGTTTTGACATCAGGCTTAGTCCACTACACTTACAAAGGTTGTCTTTTAGGGTAAAACTTTATTTTTTTATTTGAAAATACCAACATTGGTCTTGTTACATCTGCCAAGGAGGTTATGTTTTTGGTAGCGTTGATTTGTCTGTCTGTCTGTCTGTCAGTCTGTCTGTCTGTCTGTCTGTCTGTCATTCAGTGCGTGAGTGTGCGTCGGATTTTGTCAGAGGTGTGCGCACTCCGAGTTCTTCTAGTTTTATTAGTGTTTTGTACTGTAGTAACTGTAGTGAAAATTTTTTAACAACAATTTCATTATCTTTTCCAGTCAATTTGTAAATTTTGTCAAATAAATTTCTTTTTACATGTAAGAAGACATATTGAATATTTTATCTTGCTTTATTATAGTATATACAGTAGTCCCTGGCTACTTCACGGTTCGTTTATCGCGGACTCGCCTCTATTGCGATTTTTCAAAATGAGATCGGCATGACATTTTTATTTAAAATAAATTATTTTAAATTATTTAGCCCCTGCTGCACATTTGTGCAGCCCAGAGATGCAGAAAAAGCTCAATGCTGCAGCTTTGTGCAGCCCTTACTGGTGCAGGATAAACTTCCTGTTGCAGCTGAACAGCTGAACAGCTGATCAGTTGTTCACCAAAGTGGAGAAGTGGGCGTGGCCAAGAGCACTTGAAGCTTAAATCATGACATTATGAGCTCTTTTAGAGTGTTTAGAGTTTAGAAACATTGTTTAGAATACCGCAAGAGTGTGGGAAGGGTTTAAAATGCCT